ATTACGACAGAAATCGTTGAATACTGACTAAACAAAAATACCATTTTTGCCTATCCGAACAATACGTTCTTGACTTCAAAGATGTTTTCGTAGCATTTTTTTTTCTGTTTCTACACGAACAGATCATTAAAATCCTATTGTGTCGATTTTCCTACAATCATCATTTGACTTAACATAATGAGTTAATCTTGTCTCAGAAAAATCTTTGTAGCATTCGAACGGAAAAGTATCTTTACACAAAACATTTCATTATTTCTATTGAAGAACAATGATTGAAATGTGCTTTATTCGAATTTTTATCTATGATTTGATATTTACTAAAAAACAAAAATTTAGTGTTGTTTTACCTTCAAATTAATATATATATTAGACATCATCTGTCGAAATGGTTTACTTATTTCATCACTAAATTTTTTATAATCTTTAAAACTTGATAATTTTGTAGCCAAATTTGTACGATAAGATATTTCACATTGAAGTAATCTATGTGGTTTCCAAAGTAGACGAAGTGCTGGATGACATTCGTCGGGTATATTTAATTGATAATTATAAACAATATTATCTATATAAACTTGTCTTTGAATTGCAGTATCGATCAATGTTAATACAGATTTATCGACATTTACTTCAGCAAATCTAATTAAGAGAAAAAATAATTTATATTCGAACTTAATTCAAACTCAATATTAACTATTTGCTATACTATAGATAACTGTACACACTAGTATAGATCTCCTTACTCGATAGTACTTTGACGAGATTCATTTAATTTGTTCATATCTAACTTGCAATCATGTAAATCATTTCCTGACAATTCATTTGCACATTCTTGAATGATTTTCTCTTGCTCTTTTAATGCACCATAATTATTGACATATGTTTTAAGTTTATCTCCATCTATTATATCCATTTGATGACAACAAGTTAAAAAAGCTTCAGCACGCATAAGATGTTCCATAACAAAAGGTTCAAAACTTAATTTAATCCAAGGATCTAATTCTGCTTCTAGACGTTTGATATCATTTTCTAAATAATATGAAAGTTTCTCCTTATCATCTAAAAATTTCAAATATAATAGATAAATTAAAATTTTTAGTATTTTAATTACTTTCACTCTTGAACATCCAAGCAACTGTGACAGGTTGATATGAAAATGAAATGGTATCATTTATAAAAAATAAATCATTGATGTCCAATTCAACTATAATAAACAGAAAGAATAAGTGGCGATAAGACTATATTTATCTAACCGATTTTTTCGACCCTCGTACCTCTACTTCTCTAACGCACATAAAATGATGATCGTAAAAGCTCAAGTTCAGTTTGGTTGGAAGTCTAAACTGGAAACTTATTTAGAAATTACTGGTTTCTTATAAATTGACAGCTTTTAAAGGTATGGATATGGGGTTGAAAAAAAAAAACGGTTAGAAGAATTTCGAAAAAAATGAATTGTACAAAAATGTTCCTCATGATTGGCTTACTACGTCTAGGTGATTTTTATGAAAAAATAATGTATGATGAAAAATGACCTTATGGCCAATCATCCTTTTCAGATTGAGTAAATTCTTATTGTTATATTTTACCTGATTCATTGTCATTCTTTTTCGATTTCGTAGTTTTATTTTTTTTAAATAAACTTTTTAAATGAGAAATCACTTTATCTATGAAATAATATAGATATTCAAAGATAGATAATTGATGTTTTTTGTTGTTCGGATATTACCATATCCATGTTTGGTAGTGTGTGCTTTTACTTTCTTTCCAGATTCATGAAACATTGATTTTGATTTGTTGCTGACAACATCATCGTCGTGAGTTGTGTCTAACGGTTCAATTGTGACAAGCTCTTCCTTAGCACTGAGATGTTCTTCAGTTTCTGACATCACTTCAATAAATAGTACATAGAATAAGTAAGCATGTTATATTTTGAGTTAATAATACCTGATTCAGTTGTAGTATAAATTGGGTTAGATTCCGTCGGATCGATTTCAGAATCCGAATCAGCTCTCTTTTTTCGCGGTTTGTTGTTTAATGTATGTTTGGTATCTAAAAGAAGAAGAATCCTAAGTCAATTAAGGCTTTTGATGATGGTACTTCTTCATGTTTTGTTGTTTTTTTTGTCTTGGTCTTTTGAAAGTGAAAGATATGTATCTTTACTCGAAAATTGTTTAAATAAATCAGAAATAGAGACCACAAATCTAATTAATATGCCAGTATTTAATTACCCTTTTTATTGTTTCTTGATTTGCTTAAATGTAAGGATTTTTTATTATTCGCTTCACTTGTTATTGCCAAGTAAGTTATGAACAATATAATAGATAATATAACAAAATTTTTTAAAGACATTCGAAATTGTTAAATCCGATAGAGAAGTGAACTTAATATTAATAGTAACGTAGAACAAGAATACAACTGATAAACAGAAGAAGAAGAAGAATGAATTAAAATGGTTAGTTACTGAAAATAATCTTAGTAGCAAAAGAAAAAAAAGGCGCTGAATATGATGCATACTTACTCATGCAAATCTATTTTAATTAAATTTTTCTTGTATTGAAATGAAATATTCATAATTGATGCGGGTGTGATGATAGTATTTATATAGTTTTTCACGAATTCTTTTTAATGTGATGTGAAATATAGCATTTATGTAGTCGGTCGCGTACACATTTGACCTCCATACTTTACATTTTTTTTTGCTCTAACAAAATTTATACTTTGTGTCGCTATGATCTAGAGAACGGCAAGTCGCTTGAAACTCGTTTGAACTTTGTCTGGAAGATCCATGTCTTAAGATGATACAAACGTTTTGGAATCTTTAATATAATTTTTCGTTCATCTTCACACTAAATTATCAGCTCTTATGTTAATTGAAACCCTATTGCCGAACATTGAGATTGCTTCAGATCGCATTTATGTTGTTCTTTGCCAGTTTTCTTTTTTGTTTTTACTTATGAAACATGTGCATCGAAAACTAACATTTTCTATTGCGATGATTTCGAGAACTGAGTGTCAAAAAATATGCCGATAGACGATCTTATACTGTCTTATTTATGCATTGACGAAGGTAAAATTTGTTTTAAAGACATGAATTTGTAGGAAATTTTTTCCGTAGCAAATTCTGATGATTATTTAAAATCAAAATGGATTATATCTTTTAAACTCTTTACCTCTATAATTCTATAAATAGTAAGAGTAACAAAAGCTTATTGTAGTCCCAGCAACAAAGTCGATATGTATCTCACTAAACAAGAATGTATCAAATGAAACTTAACATAGCGTGTTGTTCTAAATTTAATCTTCTATCTACATAGAACTACAGTAAGCTTTTTATTTCCGCTATTCATAGCGTAACAAGCCCGCTGTTAGAAGTGTTAGGATTTCCGTTCCTTGAGGATGTGGGTGCATATCAAATGAATATGAGACATCCACATACCCACCAAGGTCAAACCGTTTGATCCTGTTGATTTATCACGTTCATGACCCATCAATGTCTGAAACATTGATCAATCGTACACAAATTGTTCTTACAACTACATATATTATATAAGGCATGTCTTTATATTGCTAAATATACTAGCGTATTTTTGATACATGTATATTGTTTCGTTTACACCACCCAAAACGTTTCTAGTGGGTTAGCTTTACAATCGCAAAATTTTTAACGCATTTATTTCCTTTGAAACAATTGTTCGAGTGATTCAGTTTCTTTCAAAACAATTTTTCTAAAGTTGTGATACCATTGAAATTGATGTGGTACTGGTATAGACATGTAATTGAGTAAAAAAATGAATTAGCATTGAAGCAATAAACAAAACATCGTTGCACTTGATGTTCGAAGCCTTAGAAGTCATTCTATTCATTTTTGTTGTCACCAAACAAGATCGATGAATTTTCTTATTTATTCTATTATCCTTAGAAACAAGATAAAACTTGCTCTTGGAGAATTCAATATGATGCAGCGTTATTTTTTATCTATCATAAGTAAGGTGCAACATAATCGCTTTCACACGAGCTACATATCATAACGGCAAAAAAAAAGATTTCATATATGATTGATCGTCTTTTCTCACATATTTTATTGGCCAATGTTATCAACATGCCAAGAACAAATATCTAACTTGAGATTCTCATGCACTAATCACGCATGTTATTCAAGTTGTTCACCGATGGTTCAGAAATTTTTAAAATGAAAATAAATATCTTTGCGATAACTGTTTACTGCATTTTGAATGCAAGTGCGTCTCATCATTTTCATATCGATCCTTATCTCTTACATTCGTTTCATGGTCATATCATACAATGACACATCAATTTGGTTGTATATGTAATGACATTGCAAAACAATATATTTTTTTCTTCTTTTCGTTTCATTCGAGGATGGAGAGATGCTATAACAGGTATTTTTAATCGTGACCATGTGAAATTTTCAAACAGGTCGTCCACTGATACTTAGTAAAACCATAAAACTTTATTATTAATAATGATTTGATGCGAAGATTTGAACAGACAAGTAAAAATATATGTTATTGTTGTTGTTCATGTGTGATTCTGTAGGATTAGAATAGTGATAGAATATTCTCTTGTATCATTTTGCTAATCTGATGTTTTATCTATTGACATGTTCTCTAATATGGTTTGTTTCAGAAAACAACAGTTTGCAAAATAATGGAACGTCTTCGTCTCTATCAAATACCATGGTCTCATTACTGTGATAAAGTTCGTTGGGCACTCGATTTAAAAGAGATTCCCTACGAACTAATCAATTATAATCTGTTAGGAGAAACGAAAGGTTTAGAACGAGCACCCAAGACATTACGAAAACTAATGTCAATTCTTGAAGATCCGAACAATAAAGATGATAATCGATTTCAATATGATTCAACACCGATTTTACTCTATTTGGACACGCAATATCCTCGATCATCCATATGTCTTTTTCCATCATCATCATCGTGTGAACAACGTCAACAAGTGATTAATACATGTTTACAACTTGATTCGGAATTAGGTCTTTATGCACG